GTTAAAATTTTCATAAATAATATGATTTTAATAGTCTCTTCATTTTCAATCAAAAACCCATTATTATTTTCATAATTTTAAATGTTATTACATTTCTCCTTAATAATATTTTTATAATTCTTTTTATTTAAAATATTTCCTTATATTTGTAAAAAAAAAAAAAGACACAAAATTCAAGGGGACGTGACCCCTCCTTCAGTGGCTCTGCCACTGTTCACAATGTACATAAAAATGACATGCAATGTAAAAAGTTGGTAATTCTAATCCAAAAGTGTTTCACAACAGAGAATATGAATTACTACAAGATTTGTTAGATTTGAAATTTCAAGTCAAGAATAAATGATTACAATTTTTCTTTGAACAGAAATGTGAAATTAAGAACCAATTAAGAAGATTTGGTCCATTTCAACTCACCTCATTAAGGGATTGAGGGTTATGTTTAGCAATGGTAACACCACAAAATCATATTTTGTTTTTTATTTTTGGTGTTAGTGAATTTTTTTTTTATTTTTGTTTGTCAACAAATTTTAACTTATTTAGTTTAGAAGGATTTTAAAAAAATATAAAATTAAAAAAAATAGTGAATTTTTTTCATTTATATATTTTTTAACTTTTCAAATCCATCTAGTAATAGAACTTAAAAAGTAAGAAGTAATTTTGAAAAATTTTATAAAAAAATCATTAAAGAGAAAAATCCCGACAAAATTAAAAAAACAACACCAACCCAACTTGAATGTAAGAACTTCACTATAAATTATTCTCGAAAAAGATTAACAAATAATTTTACACATATTTTAAAATTTATTTTAGTAAAGCAAATGACAATAATATTTATATATATATATATATATATTACTATCTCCATTAATTTTGGGGTAAATTATAAATACACCGCCAGTAAATTGATAAACTACGAATTGCTCCTGCGGTTTTGAAAATCTACATTCCCCACCCTTGAGATTTCTAATTTCAAACAAATCGCTCCTTGATATTAATAAATTATCAAGTCAATTAACAGTTTTTAATGATGTTAAAAATATGTTTCAATTAATAATTTAAGAAATTTTATTATTGTATAAGAGAGTAATTATGAATTTTATTTTTTTAGTTAATTCTATTAAAAAAATTATAATAAGAAAATACTTATAATTTTTTAAATTATAAAAAATAATTTATATTTTAAATAAATATTAGAGGGTGTATTCGTATTTTACGCATTAACTTTCTAGCAAAAGTCATATCTTTGTAATAATTCCAATTTCCAACACACGCAGTGGTGTTTGGAAATACCTAAAAAGTACAGATTTTTTATTTTTTATATTAGGTGAACTTTTTTTTTCTTTTTTCTTATCCGTTTTGTGTAAAAAAATTAAAAAGTAACACAATTTGAATTTTTTTAAAAAAATTGAAAAATCCAAAATAAACAAACAAAAATTCACTATTTTTGTCTTTTTTTAACTTTTTTAAAAATTTACAATTTATTTTATTGAGAATATAAAAACTTTATTGAATTTTAAAAAAAAAATCGCTAAACACCAATATAAGCACACAAAAAATCACCAATTAAGCAAACCTCAAAGGCCTTATGCCTTCCTTAAATTATCAACATATTCTTTTATCTGTTTGAGTATTTTATTTATTTATTTATTATTTTTCCATCTACTTTATTCTGTTCATATATCTGTTTACATGATCCCAACTGTGGGACCCATTTGTCGTTACAATACGATGAGAATTTTACAGCATTTGGAATTTTGAATTTGGAATTATAAAGCGGAACATTTTCCTTTTTTATTTTTCCTTTTTTTCTTCACACCTGACCTTTTCCCTCTGGCTGGATTATTATTCTTAATACAGCTTGTACTTGCATATCGCTCAAGTGTTCCACATTCCTAATTGAAAAGGATTAATTATTACTTAATTATTTTTCCACATTATAAGATCTTTATTAGTCCCTTGAATAAAGTGAGATTCGATGTCTTGCATTTTCATCTTAATGAGAAAGTAAATCCCGAATACCTAAAATTTCAAGTTTCGTTTTATCCCATATGATTAACAATGAATAACTCAGATCAAAGATAACACGGTAATTTCCATTCCAACTACTCAATAAATTTCTTACCTAAGGGCATCTCGTAGTTTGATTTTTAGTTTTTTTTTTTTTTTTTCCTTTTTTTTGGTTGCATGATCTTTTACAAGTATAAAGCCAAGTTTCATAGTTTTATTGGTGAAAATGTAAAATTTCCCAATTTCAACATAGAAATGATAGAAAATTTCAATTTCAAGTAAAATTGTGAAATTATTGGGATATCCATAAAGCTTCAATTGGTATTAAAAATTGTGAAATTTCATTAACACGCTTAGAAATTAACTTAAATCAATATATACCCAGTTTCCCAATTTCTATAAATCTCTCAAACTACTTCCCAATCTCTTGAATTCTCCACGATTTGGAATCAAAAATACTCCAAATTTCTTAATTTACAAATTGAGATTACTAACATTCATTTAGAAATGTGAGATTTCTATAGAAGATGAGATAATCAAATTTTTCCTTATGCTGTGTTTGGTTAAGAGATTTGATGAAGGATTTGAAAAGGAAAATGAAAAGGTAGATGAAATGTGAATAAAATATACCTGTATTACATTTAGTTTCACTTATTTTTTTCATTTTCCTTTCCAAATCTCTCCCCAAATCCCTCAATCAAACACAAGTTTGAAATATAATTCTTGTTGAAATAGATGATCAAGAATAACTTTTCTATTCCAATTCTTTCCAACTATTGGAATTATGAAAACTCATAATCACATCATCATTTTTTTTCGGAATTCCTGCTATGCAAACTTGGTATTAAAATGGGAAATTACTCTTAAAGGCATTTTGGAAAACTGGTAAAAAGCTAATTTTTTGATTTTTTAACTTTTTTAGGTCACATCATATCTCTACTTTTTTACACAAAAAAACCAAAAAAGACACAAAAAATTAAAAAAACATCTTTTTACTAACCTCTCAAAACACTACTTAGTATAAGTCAAGCATCCTTCTGAGTTTACTATTTGGGCTCACACGATAACATTCCAGTGGTAAAGAGGGCCATAAAAGTAGATACTTGGGTTGTATTTATTGCCTTCATGAATGGGCCTGTCCAGAATACCTTGAATGTGATTATAAAAACAATTTGTAAGGTGTTAGTTATGAATCATGAGTACTTGTGTACAAAGAGAGGCCCATAAAAAGTTTTATTTTAACCGAGTTAAAAAAACATCTTTTTACTAACCTCTCAAAACACTACTTAGTATAAGTCAAGCATCCTTCTGAGTTTACTATTTGGGCTCACACGATAACATTCCAGTGGTAAAGAGGCCCATAAAAGTAGATACTTGGGTTGTATTTATTGCCTTCATGAATGGGCCTGTCCATAATAGCTTGAATGTGATTATAAAAATAATTTGTAAGGTGTTAGTTATGAATCATGAGTACTTGTGTACAAAGGGAGGCCCATAAAAAGTTTTATTTTAACCGAGTGCTCCATAACTAGCTTTGGCTATATATCAGAATTTACAATTTTTTTTTTTTTTTTGATACATGAATCTACATTTAAAATGACGTGATAGTGACAAATTTATTAATTGTGTTCATAATAATGGGTCTCATATTCTTAAATAAAACAATGACAATAAATATATCTTTAACACGGAATTTTAATATACTAAACATATTTGTTGTTTTATTTTTACAAAAAATAAACTGAAGGTTGGTCGGTTATATTTCAAAGACTACATGGGGAAGTTCTTGTGATTTCAATTAACCTCAAGGTCAGCATAATTTATCAATAAATAAATAAAACCAAAAAAGAAGAAGAAAAAAATCTTGTCACAATAGAATCAACCCCACCAAATCCTCTTGGCTTCCTTTGAACTTGAGTTCTCACCACTTCTTGGAAACCAAGAAACACTTGAGCCTCTGCGTTGAAACTTTTAAACAAATTCCCTTGGATTTTACTCAACCTAGGGTTGATGTTAAGTCATTCAACAACAAGACTTTATATTATTGGAGAAAACACACAAGTCTAAAAAGAACACAATGGAATGTCTTGGTCTACAAGAGAGAGAAGTGAGAGCCCACTAAAAAAAGATTACAAAAAGCAATATATGTATGGTTTTGTGGGCTCAAACTCTCATTCTTCAATTTGGACTAGCAATCAGCAAAAGTAGGATGAGTTGCACCGTTTAACCAACCAACAACTCCTCCAACCCACTCCATGATCATATTCTCTCTCACTACTCTCTCTCCTCTCGCTCTCTTTCTCTCTCTTCTACCAAACTTGGGTGAGTCTTACATTTCCACACGTAAAATCATTCTAACTTGATCATAAAGCCAAACAACACCCAATATAACAAACCCATTTTCAATTGCAAGGTTCTATATCTCCTCCTTTTGGCGTTACTTTTTCTTTACAGCTTCTATGAAAGGATGAGAGATCGAATGGAAAGGTTAGTAGTTCTTCCTTTCTCTATAGGCTGTGTTTCTCAGTCAAGTGTTGCTGTGGGCACAACCACAACCACAGCCCAACCCAGAAAAACTAAATCAGAAGGATCAAACTCAGGACCAGCTGTAGTAATAACAAGTATGCTCTCTCTCTCTCTCTCTCTCTCTGTGTTATTTTTTCTTTTTTATAACTCGCAATCCGGCCCATTGGACACACTAATGTGGAAGATCAATCCCACCGTCTACTTGTGGGCATCCTAATTAAAGATAGGCAAAACTCCAGTATAAACTGATCCTAAGAAATTGTTTACACTTATAAGGTTTCGAACCTCAGACCCTGGAGGGAGTTTGACAATGCTTTGTGACCTCCACCCCAAGTCCCAAACTGTGACCTCCAGGCTAACTCCCTTGGTTTCTCTGTGTGTATTTGACAATGTTTTGTGTTTTATGTCTTTTATTACAAGGGAAAGAAGAAAGAGAAGAGAGTTCATCATCTGCGCTGAAAATGAGGAATTCTTGGGGTTTCTTGGCTGCTCCAAAGCCTAACATTTCAACTGGAATACACAGATTGGTGAAGACTTTCAAAAGCTTCTCTCAATTATTTGGTAAGTGGATTATTAGATAACCAAACTCTCTCCTTCTCTTTCTCTTGAACTAGTTTATAATTTACGAACTTATTGAAGATACAATATTGATAGAAATAGTGAAAAAAAAAAATTACATTCAATAGAACACGAAGAGAAAATGTTCTTATTCTGCCAAATGTTGGTTGTTGCTTATAACTTTTTTTATTTGGAAATTAATATCAAAGTATTTGGTAGAAGACGGAAAAAATTTAAATAAATTAAAAGGCTTGATCAGAAGAATGTTTTTAGTTTTCTCATTATCAAATTTTTAATTTCAGAAAAATTGCACCGCATAAAAGTTTAATATAAACTTATGTTTTTGGTTGGGGACCAATTGGAGTAGGAACTCCATTTTTGTCTTTATTATGTGAAACAAATTGAATGAACTTCTCACATCTTTATCATATTCCCCGATTTGGTTACTCTTAAACGTCTGTCGTTTGGGTGCCCACCTATATTTGCTCTCTATTGAATGAACTTCTCACACCTTTATCATATTTCCCGATTTGGTTACTCTTCTTAAACATCTGTCATTTGAGTGTCCACCTATATTTACCCTCTACTTTCAGCATACTTGACTTCACCGGCCTTATTTATTTGATGAAAAATGTTTTGAAGTTTTAATTCTTTAAGTTCTAAAACCAGTTCTAAAGAGTTGGTGGTGGGTCTTACGTACTGTGACGTGATGTTTTGATTTTTTTTTTTTCCCTCTCCTTACCATGTCATTATTGTTTCATTAGAGTACCAAAATTAATACTCTAAATCATTGTTGTTATTTGATTACTTTTATTATAAAAGAAATATTATGAAAAGCCTTCATAAAAAATAAAAAAAAAATTCTTGGATTTTGGGTGAATAAAAAAAAGTCCAAGAAACTTTTCATGATATTTATTTTATGATTAGTTTGTAGTATTTGTAATATTTTATTATATATTATACAATCTCTCTTAAATTAGCCTTATGAAACTTTTCACGATATTTATTTCATTATGAGTAACATTACTCTTTATTAGACACTCAAGTTTTGACATGTCATGGCATGGGCTTGAAAATTTTGTCAAGAGCAATGTGTGCACTAGTTGAATCTTTGGGTTGTAATCAGGTTTAACCAAAAAAAAAAAAAAAAAAAAAAAAAACTTGTTTCTTGGCAATCTCATTCCTCGCCTCGATTTTGTATAATTTTTTTTTTTTAATTTGTCAAACAAAGTGTTCAAGATTTCTCTCAATTAATTTCTAAATACATGTAATTACATGTTTCAAGTTTTTTAAGAGCAGTCTCAAAGAGAAGTGAATAATGAAATTTTAAACCATTAATCTACCTCTTAATGTCAAACTTGTGACTTTTTTCATATGAGAATCATAAACTCTGACTATTTAGGGTTTTTTTTAAAAATATTTAAGATAAGAATCGTGCAATTTAATTAGATTATTTTATTTTTCATACACACGAGAGCATAGTCAAGAGAGTGAGAATCATGTTTATAGTAAGATTTGAATTCTGAACTTCCTAATAAAATATATGGATGGTTAATTAGAAACATTTTTTTAATTTTTAATTTTGCTTTTGGGTTATTTTTCAGTGTTCCTAATCCTGTTAATATTTCGAACATGCTAATGAATGATCTAGTTTACAAGGAAGAGATGGAAATGGAGATGGAGATAGGATTTCCAACAGATGTGAAGCATGTTACACACATAGGATGGGATGGAACTACTACTACTACAAACACCACAAACAATCCTATGAAAGGCAGTTGGGAGAATCTCACAGCTCCTGAAATACTATCTTTTCCTTCAATTTCTATGAGGCAGTTTGAGCTTGCCATGGCTGCCCAAGCTAATGACGGACCACCTCACATGTGTCTCACTAATCCTACCTAATATGTTCTGTCGTTGCCTCTTCTTGTTGGTTTGTTGTGGGTAATGATGATGATGTTAAACCACTGTTGATAATATTGAACATTGTTGATTGAAATGGTGGAAGGTTTTGATAATATATGTATTGGTGATTCACATAGATATATGCAGAGAGCTCCCAAATGATATCCATTTTGAATTTTCTTTTTATATTACTTTTCACAAATTAGGTACCATTAATAATCTAGACTAGGCATGGTAAAGAGGAAAATGGGGCCTTTACCTCAAAATAAGCCAAAATAGTAATTTACTTTCCAAACTAAGCTTAGTTTGGGCGGAATTCTCAAAATAAATTAAAACGTTATTTCAAAATACGCTTTCACAATATTTCTGGTCCCGGCGTGGAAAATTTATAAAATTATAAAAGCGTGGTTGCAAAGCACGCTTTTAATTAAGAAAGCGTGTTAGAAACTAAGCTTTTAAAGAAAACTGTTTTGTAAAAAAAAACGTGGTTATAAACTACGCTTTTAATGAAAATTTGGTTTTTAAAAAAAGCGTGATTCGTAACCATGCTTTTGAGCCAATACCAACCCACAACTGTTGATTATTATTTTTATTATTATTCAATCCACATTTTATAATTCACTCAGTCATCTTGTAAATCTCTATATATAAATTATTCATATAAAATATCGTATTGATAAACAATCTTAGCTACCAAATTTTATTATTTTAATATTTAAAAATCAATTATATAATTTGAAAATTATGTTGCACATCCATTATTTTTTAAAAAAAATGATAAAATTATATGTACGATTATTAGATTAATTTGATATTTACATAAATAATTTATACATTAAATTTTTAAAAATAAACAGCATGCATTGTCTAAAAAGTAGTGAATTGTGTAAAAAATATAAATTAAATATTTGCTTGATTTACCTGATAGTTTTTAAATTGTTATTTAATTAATTTATACATAAAATTTTTTAAAAATAAACAGCATGAATTGTCTAAAGAGTAGTGATTAAGAGCTCTAAAACTATAGTTCTGATTTAAGTTGTAATGATGTGGTATAAAAAAATAAAAAGAAAGCCACAAACAAGCAAGCATAAATATCATATCAAAGATTATTAGACTAAGATTTTACCATTGAATCAATGATCACCGCTTATAACTTTAAAAATATAATAGTAAAAAAAATATGAAAAAATGTAAATTAAATATTGGAAAATGTTTGGTGGCTACAAATTATGTGGCTCAAATGGCCCGAAAATGTCAAAACGACGTCGTTTTGGCATTTTCAGAGTTGTTTTATACCCAAAACGACGTTGTTTTGGCATTTTCGGACTATTTGAGCCACAGAATTTGTGGCCACCAATCATTGCCCTTAAATATTTGTTTAATTTACTTGATATTTTTTAAATTTTTATTTAAATATAAATTTTTAAATTAAATTTTTATTTTGTTATATAATTCAAATATAATTTAAAAAAGATCGATGATGAACAAAAATAAAAACACCAAATAAAAAATTAAAAATTAAAAAAAAAGAAGAAAATAATGGCCTCGAGACACGCACCCTCCCCAAAGAACATTTCGCGCAGTTTTGGAGAGATTTTGTCGGGTCTTTTCCCAAACTACGGCCCTATACTAATTTATTTCCCAAACTAAGCCTACTTTTGCGAAATTTTCAAAACTAAATATTTGTTGTTCTCTAAAATATTTGTTGCCAAGAAATATTTAAATAAAACTTCACACAGCATATAAAAAGTATCTAATTTGCTAATTATTACTACGAACAGGAAAACAAAATAAAAGTATGACTATAACACTTATAACACTTTAGAACGACGTAGGTAGTTCAAACATAAGTATCCCACAAAAATAATCTGTAGAAACATTCAACTTAACACAGTACATAAAATAAAGCGACGAATACAATGCTTAACAGTTACATAGACAAATATTAGACAAACCTTTCACAAACTCATTGTTGAAAGAGTTATTTTAACACACACAATACATAATTATGGATAACCTAATATAATTTAGTAAACAGATAGACGCCTAATTCTCGCTCAAATCAGCAATCTTAGAGTCCGAACAATCAGAGAGCTCGGGTCAGAGAGAAGTGCAGGATCGTCCTTGATAGCCACAGCATTTGGTGCTGTTCCGTTCTTCTTGGCATCCGACTTAAGTATAGATAGTTTCATATCGTGGGCTGACCTACGGCGCATTTGAGAAATCTCACGTCGAAGTCTTTCACATAGTAGATCAACATTATCTGGATCTTCTTTTTGGATCTCAACTGAACGTGCTTTCGGCACATTCAGTCGATTTTCCCGACATAGTCTTTCCATTTGCACTCACTCTATAAATAGTGCGGACCACTTCAGAAGTCTAGCGTCTACTAAACCATATATTGTTTGATTATCAGATGGATTCTCCACGAAACCACATGGATCTCGATAGTACTTAGACATGGACATGACAAAATGTCGCTTCCCAAACCTATCATGATAAGCACAAGAGGCATCTAACAAAACAAATGGTGTTTCATCTTCAGCATTGCCATTTCTCCTTCACATTCCTCTTCCTCAGCATGAACTCTTACCTCTTTCGAAGTTCTTACCCCCTGCGAGTCCCCTTCTCGTTCCTCTTCCTCGTCGTGAACTCTCACATCTGCGATTCCTACCCCCTGCGGTGAATCTATACTCTATTTGATTTTTTCTTAATAGATGAACGATAGTTTCCTAGGGCAAACTGAGTGGAAAGGTTGTGTGTTTACCATCACTCATTCAGTCCTTTATATAGTTGTTTGTCAACACTATTGCCATGTGGTCGTATTAATGTAACTTAGATGAGTTCTGAAATGTGAAGAAAAAACAAAGCATCTAAGTCGCACTGTACAAAGTCATATGCATCACTGCATGTGAGGAAAAAAGTCACAAAGCATATAATTTACAAAGTCAGAAAGTCACACGCATCACTGCATCACTGCACAAAGTCACATGCATCACTGCATCTGAGGAAAAAAGTCACACGCATCACTGTATCGCTGCACAAAGTCACATAGCATATGAGGAAAAAAAACAAAGCATACAATTTATTACATCTGTTAAAGTCACTACATTACTGCATCACTGAAAAATGTTGGACGTATCACTGTGCCGACTTTGATGAGACTACTCACTGTATGAAAAAAATCAAGAGGTCGTACCATAGCTACTGTGCCCATGCGAATTTCTGCAATTCATAATGGAATGAGGGGGTGTCAGAACAAAACAACAAAACAATTAGACCCTTTGTATTTAAAAAGTCACCCTATGCAGTTTCGAATAGATTCATAAACCTTGAAGAGAAGACATTATAGAATTAGAATGTATTGAAGATTAATTTGTAGTAGATTTAGAATGAGTGGGTTTTTCAATGTATAGAACTTGAAAGTGTTACAGATAAAAGCTAGCCTAGTATGCAGACAAGAACAATACCGACTTAAATCAACACATAGTTAACTTGAAATTAAATTGGTTAAATTTCTCCAATTAAATTAAATTAAATATGTAAGGTGAAAAGTGAAATTAAATATATTGTCAAGGCAAAATAAATTGAATTATATTTGTAAACGAAAAAGTGAAATTAAATTTCTAAGCGGATTTGAACTTTGCTTAAAACCTTCAGATATGCATTGAGTAGTCAATAAAAGTCGAAATGACAACTTCTACAAAGTTGATGCATAATTATTCAGGTCATAAAAGTTGACGTGACAACTCTGATGCATAGTTGTTTACAATAATTTCAAACATACAGCTACGATGTGAACTTCATGAAGTATCAGTACTTCCTGAAGTATTAGTACTTCATTGTCGGCATGTGAGTTTAGAGTTTATAAGACATGAATACTAACGTCCATCTCCATTTTGAATTTGGGCATGTTACAACAACTGTGTATATATGGTATAAATATCGCATCATACCACAACAAAAGTTTTATAGCTATATCGAGCGATATCATCATGAGATATACAATGGTTGATCTATATTCAGCAATGGGTCGCCATTGGGTTGCAGATGGAGATGGATTTCACTACCCATTAAATCCAAATTTGCGTTACTCACATGCCGCCGTCAATACCATGAGAGCTGAGTGGGAATTTCGCAAAACTCGAGCAAACGTTCTCGTTGAGCTATGTCGTGAAGTTAATATTAAATTTTCTCGCCAGTTAGGCATGCTTATGCCAACTAACACTCCACAATTATTGCAAAGGGCATTGCATCGTATCCGCGACGAAGTTAATCGCATGACCCAACGTTTGCAAAGGTCCAAACTAATGAAGACCGCAAATGAGCGTGCTGAAGATGGGTTAATGAATGATGCGCACCAGTACTTCACTTGGAGCATGGATGCTATGTATGAATCTGATATTGAGATGTCTGATGATGATGATAATTAATGAAATTGTTTGGATGAATGACCAAACCATTTATCTTGTAATGGATTTGTATTGCTTATCCACGACTTCTCAATGAAGGGAGAAATTTCAATAGTTTTTGAATAGTTCTTATAATTCTACAAATAACAAATACATTTGTTTTCTCTCCGTTATTGTTATTTTGAAGAATGCTAATTGAACTAAGCTTTCATGATTTTATACATTATTGAAGTGGAATATAATGATGATACTGAATGAACTTGGTTGCATGTATGACTAAACGTTTTCATTCATTGTAATGGCTTTGCAATGCTTATACATGAGTTATCAATAGGAAGAAAAATTTGTAACGAATCTTGACATGTGTACTTATAAATGTAGTGATTTCACAAACTTCAGGTTCATATAACAAATAGTTTAAATACATCCGTAAGCTAGATGAACAACAACATTGTCTTGCACTCCAATAACGAAAATACGACACAACATACAAACATATATGAAAGATAAAGGTGTTTGATTTCTCATTCCTCATCTGACATGTAGTAGTCAAAGAGATATTTTTCATTGTTTAAGACATTATTTCGCTCAATCACTGTCAATTCTCTGTTGCTTGCTTCTGCTATTTCGGTGGCTAACTGAAGCCTAAAATGTCAACATCTCCGCATCAACATTCTGTTGTTCTCCTTCTTAATTCTGGTAACTGTTTTTTTATAGTCACTCACATTTCGTCTAGCCATGGTCAATGA